TAAGCATCTCAGATACAGAATCCAAAAATGAGTAGACATATCAGGCAGTGATGGCTTTAAAAGCTGCATCCCAGAAGCTCACGTGTGAAATGGGACTAACATTAGCTCACCTCACTAGTGGCAAGGCAGACCTACAGCAGAAACCTACCCATGTTCATAAAGAGCTCAGAAACTATGATCAGAGCATTTGCAGTCCCTGAGGATAGTCTGTATTCAGTGCAGGGTTCAGAGATGTGTATTAAGGAGAAATGTAAAGAAAGGAAAAAAAAAAAAAAGAAAAAAAAAAAAAGGAAAGGAAAAACACCATCTATCTTGACTAAGGTGAGAAGTCCACAGTGGGGAAAAATACAGTGTGATCACCTACTTGAAGAAAATGTTAATGCAAACATACAGAGAGCACAGAAGGATGGGCGGACAAATATGCATTTGAACAGCTGAATTTAGATCAGGTACATCTAAACATTTAGCTTTCAGTGCACAGACATACCAACACATGCACACCTATGTTGAAAACTGGCCCAGACACCCCCTGCTGTCACACCAGAAATAAAATATATATTTATATGCTACCAAGCTTGCAACCCGGGTTACTCTAACCTTAGCTTCTCTCCCCTGTGGACATAACTCATACATGGTATACTTAAATAGCCCTAGGCAGTGAATTAAAGATAGTGTTTTATTTACAATTCTGTAGCAAATTATTCACTGTAGTTCTACGTCAAGCTTTTCATTAAGTATTCATTATTCAGTGGTTTGTTCCTGCTTCTATAAGGCAATGCAGCAGCAATAGCAGTGCTTAAATGCCAGTGACAACTATCTTAGAATCACTGAGTGCCTTGCTTTGCAATGAGGCAATAAATTGCAACTTATTTGCCAGGAATACGCATTTTGAAAAGCACCTGATTTTTGCTTTAAGCAGCATCTCCACTTTGACCTAATTGCAGAAGCCTTTTAGCTGCCACAGTCATGTAGTTTGCTCCTAGGATCAGCCAGGTTTCAATCCGCAGCACTCCAAAGTGTTTGTTGGCACTGAGTACTTTCCCCAGCAGTACACAGATGTTTTCAGAGCAGGCATCCCTTTTTTCAAGAAGCCATTTTGGGCCAGATATTGATGCCCTACTGTAAAACACTTGCACATTTAAAAATAATTATGACACTACCTTGTGTATCTTAATCCCAAATTTTGAAAAGTAACAGGTCAAATATGCTCCTTTTTCTGTAAAAAAAAAAAAAAAAGTGTGGATAAGAACTTACACTGCCTTACTACATACTGAAGTACCAGTAAATGCATACATTTTGTAGACTTTCAGTGGAAGATACTGCTTTTGTGCTGGACTTGGAGCTAACCATGTAGTTGCAGAGCCTACAAACATTTCTGCCAAATTTTACTTATTCTACAGAGAGATTTTTTTCCCAATCTTCTCTTCTTTTTGCCTGTGGGACATGCTCAATCATACCTAAAAATAGGGAGTTGAATTCTGTGGAGAAAAACTGAACAAAGTCTTACTTAGGAGCTTGAAAACAACCATCATGAAGCAGTCGTATCTGAAATCTCACCGCAATCTAAAGCAGAGCCGCAGTGACTTGGATTTTTCTCCTCAGATATGAAGTGCCACACAGGGGTTATTATATGGAGGACATGGAACGGTTTATGCTAACGTGTTTTCTTTAGCAGTTGGGATAGGTTACTGTAAAGGCATGAGTTCAGCAGCCACAACTCAGCTGACTGGTGGTGGCAGCTCACTTGGTCAGCCACAATCAACTAATCATTTGCAACTGTACAGAAATACTTCTAAAAGCAAAATCAAAGCAGGGATTAATGTGCAAATAAAAGCAGATACATATGAAGGCTAAAGACAATGCTGTTTTTAATGCTGCCTCAAAGAACAGCAAAGGTGAAGCATTCACCTTTTCTGGTTACTAGAAGAATTCACTTATAACCCTGAATTTGCCAGTCAGTGGTATGCTGCCCCCACTTTCTGTAAGTGAAACCACTGCGGTGCTGTCAAATGGCTGTTGTGGTGTTAGTGAGCAGAATCTGAATCAACATGGTTAACACATTCCCCCACCACTTCTTTAATCATGGAGGAAGAAACTGGAGATGTGTTTAGAAAGATTAGCACCGATGCAGGTCTTGCCTGGGATGTTTGTTTCAAGCAGGTCACTCTGCCCTGCACTGCTTCTCTCAGAAGGAGCAATGTCCATCCTACACCCAAGTGCAAAATGATTCCTGGCTTTCAAACTCTCAAGGAAATACTTTCTGTTCTGTTCCTGAAACCAATCAATATTGCAGTATCTACAACTGTGTCTAATGCAGCTGCCTGAACTACACCAATGTGCAGGCACTAGGAAGGATTACCAGAAAATGATATCTTTGCAGCTGCAACACAACATTTGCTGCCCAGTTCTCAGTTTAGCCCTTTGCTTCAGTCTCTGAGTACACTGCTGAGACTGCATTTCTGATTCACTAAGAGTCTTTATTGAAGAGAGAAGTCATTAAATGAGATCATGAAAGATGGACATGTCCCTCAGAAAGCCTCTCCGAACTGATGCTTATGCTCTGCAGGTGGTTCTGTCTCCAGAAACCAAGAGGTTTCCCTTACTGTAGCTTGTCTTGCAGCCCCAGTTGTGTGGAAGATCGTGGACCCCAGAATCTCAGATTCATGTCTTCAGGCTTCAGTTTCTAATAAAAGATTCTTCAACAACACAAATTCTATACACTGTAATAAAATGTATTTTACCTCTACTTCAAAATTCACTATAGCAGGTTGTGACAGTATCCATACATCCATGTGCTGGAAAATACAACCACCCAGGAAAGCCAGGCACTCCTACAAAGTACAGCTCAGAATACAGGAAGGCTTATGGCCTCCAGATGGACTATGCCACGGACTGGTGGCAGGGACGTAGCAGAGAGACTACCCATTCTCATGAAGGCTGCAAATCCTACAGGATTTAAGCAGGCCAGCATGGCTGGTAAGGAATATCTCAGTGTTCACCAGGAGAAAAAGCAGCCCCTTAAATCAAGACTGTGCATCTCATCTCAGGCAGCTCCTGCTGCCAGAAGGGAAATGACCGGGCAGGAGTAGTGACTGCTGCAAGCAGCTGGCCCCCATCTCACACATCCTGATCCCTGCCCTGGCAGCGGCAGCAAACCTGATTTCCCCGGGCACTGGCAAAGGCAGAGTAAGTGATGAAGACATGACCATTTTGCTGTGCCCTTGGCAGCCTGCTGCTGCCCAAGGCAACAACCTACATCACCTATGCTCCCAGCTGACCCTGTTTTGCAGTCTGTTCTCTGTTATGTGTTCAAATGACTCTATTAGCACCTCGAAATAAGTCATTTGGGTCCCACCTAAGGTTTGGAGAGATTTTACCAGTTGCCTTGACTCAGGAATGTACGGATTAATTGCAAATACCATCCCGGAATGTTAAAGCCCACATTCAATTTGACAATTGTAATATTATTGCTTAGAACAGTGCTCACTTGAGTCACGCTATAATTCAGTCATTATAATTTTCATGGAAAAAGGCATATTTTTCCCCAAACCCATTTCACAGAGCGAAAAGCACACAGGTAGGATTTGTCCCACATAAAAATAAATTGCTATTTGCATGTCAGAAAATGGCTGTAGAAAACAGGAAAACATTAATTATTTAGGGCAGCAAATAAGCTAAAAGGCAATTTTCCCAATTTTTAAAAAGAAATGTTAACTGCAAGCAGTGGGTCCTTTTTTTTTTCTCCATTCACAAAGCAATTGCTATATCCTCCTCTGTATGTAGAATACGTATAAAGTCTGACACACTGGTTTAATTACTGCAAGAATGAGCAAAACAACAAGCTTTTACAGCCAAAGAGCCTCGACTTCTAACAGATGCCAATTCAACCTGTAGAGATATTCCATCGTGCCTTTGAAAATTTACCACACACACACCAAAAAAAAAAAAAAAAAAAAAAAAAAGAGAGAGAGAGAGAAAACAGTCTTCCACATTTTTTTTTTCGAGAGAATAGAGGTTTTCCTTTTTAATCAGTGACCTGAAGAAGACATCTGCGCTCTTACACATTAATGTGCCATTAGTACACGAGTGCAACACAATTATCTTGGTGATTGTGACCAGACACGATCTAAGACACCAGTGAAAAGGAAGCCTATAAATCTCATTGCTAAATTATTTATATTGCTGTTGCAGCCAGACGTGCCCTTTGGGCAGAGATGAGAGCGCTGCCACACTGCCTGCATGCTGGGATTGTGAACATGGGTCAGCATCTCTACCCCTCTGCCTTCTCCACCATGTTTTCCCCACATGAGCTAGGACAAATAGCCCAGCCCACACCACAGACACCCACTGATTTCCCTCTTGCACAGAGTAGGGTCCAGCCACACTCCCAGTCTCCACTGGGAAGAGCAAGAGTCTCCCTCCTCCTGAGCTCACTGTACATTTAGCTCATTTTTCCTTGTTCTGGCAGGTTTTAATGAGTCTGGGGAAAAAATAGTTAGCATAGATGATGAAAATGATGTTTTGTGCAGAGAGTTAGTTCAGTATTAGCTTGACTGAGGGATGAAATTGCAGACTGCTGATGGTGTTTTTTTCTGCTTCATCATCTATTTTTCTTAAGATGGCAAACAGCTAGCAAAGTGCTCATTAATGGATAGTGACAAATAGTTTCCTGTGGTCTTAAAACAAACCATCAATTACAGAAAGTGTTTTCAGTTCTTGAGGCTAAAAAACATTCAATACCATTCATCTGTTTGTGTGTTTTATCAAGTGATGAGAAATCCAAGTGAGAAACATATACAAAAAGAGAAGAGAGATGCTGCTGTGCCTTCTTCAGACCAGGGTGCTTCAAAATAGCCTTCAGGTGAGGCTAAGATATTCAGTGCCCCTACAAAACAAATGGCTCTCTGAAAGACTATATGCTGATCTTCATTTGACGTGATCACATTTTTTCAGTGGGTTGGTAAATGCTCAAATCCCATAAAAGCTACATTAAAATTATATAGTTATAATTCTATAATTATTTTATTTATATTGCATAAAAAGCAAAGCACAGAGTAGGAAGAAAAGCAGGCTATAGTTTTAATCGATACTGACAAGGAGGTTAATTCTTACTACTTTTTCTTTCCATTCCAGCCTTTGTGCACTGACAGGTCAAGAAAGAGGATACTTCAAACCAGCTGCAAAAATTCACATGTGAAAGGCAAGAACAACTTCTGCTTCTAGAGTGTCAGAGAACTCCTAAATCAACCCATTTTTCTTTCATTCGTGTCCAGTTTGAAATGATCTCTCCTGAAAAAAAAAAAATCCAAAAAAAACAGGAACAGCATTGGCAAACGTTACAAGACCAATTCTTCATCACTATACACAGAAAAAGGAATCAGTTGCATCACTGGAAACATGAGAAATAGCAACAACCTAAAGGTGTGTAACAAAACAGAGCATTGGACCTTACAGGCCTGTTTATATCATCTAAAATAAACAAAGACATTCTCTTAGATGTCCTTACACGAAATGTACAGGATCTCAGAAACACAGCTACTGTATTTAAAGTGGTGACAAAAATGTGCTTCTGGGCTGTGGACATCCTGTGAACCACTTTGATGTTTAAGTATACATCTATACCTTTTTTTACAATAGACATGAGAAAAAGTGGTTCTCAAAAGTACCAGGTGATACCTGAACAAAGTCTGGAATTACAAGCTGTATGGAGCATTTCCAATGCAAGAACAAGTTCTGAGTCTCCATTCATAAGTAGGTTTCAGCACATTATACAGCTGGTCAGAGAGGCCTCTGCATTACGTGTCAGTGTCCTACGGTTCACAAAAAAAATTGACTGCATGACTGGATTTTGCGCATCCATCCTGTAAGCCCAGTGTTAGAGTTGCCCATTAGTCACAAGCCAATATGGGACTCAGACTTTTTTCAGTTTCATAGGCTTTGGATCCAGAGGTTCAGTTTAAGATCAACCTCTCCTCAACTGTCTCTTCCTTCACCAACAGAGACTATGCATCAGATTTACAAAGGGTGAGCAGTATAACTGTAATCTAAACTAATATAAAGAGGGTTCAACAACAAAAACAGAAATGCTTCAAGCAAGAAAGCTTTTTCTGCACAATCATAATGTAGATATCTTCCTTTCAAATGTACTACATTCATCTCCGGCAGGACAACAGCTGCCAGCCCCTTGCACACATCCTGGGGGCTCAGGAACAAAAGTCCTGCCCATTTACAGCCAAGTGCCACATGGCGATTACTCACTGTTATGCTGGCACAAAATAGTCAGGGTCCAGCCATGACTACTGTTGGCAAGTCTTGTAAGAGGCAGATCATCATTCATGAAAGCGTACACTGCTCCTGTAGGGCTACATCAGGGACTGATTTACTCTTTGCATATGTATACATGCAGAACCTACAGAAAACGTGGAAGCAATTGGAACATATGGAAAGGTGGCTTTCTGCAAGTCGAAAGCTCTCTCCAGACACCCAACTTCTCATAATGATGGAGGTGTTTGTTTGCTCATGCTGTTGTGCATCCGCTACATGCCAAAATGATCCCCCCTGATCCCAGTTGTGTGCTCATGCCATAAGCGATAAAATAAGGCCTGACAAGCCATTTCAGATTCAGACCATTCTCATTATTCACCCCAGCGGATATTGTCTCAGTTAGATAGGCCAGCGGTTTCACAGGAACTGCATGGGTTATCTTGCTATAGTATAACCACATTTCTAACCACAAAGAAAATATTTCCGTCCATATAAATATTTAATACAAGCAATATCTTCATGTAGAAGAGAGGATATCAGGGATCCCTTTGTGACCATCCTGCTAACTGCATCCAGGCTAACTGCAACAACTCACCAACTCACTTCAGTAGAGCCAAGAACTATCAATATAAGTTTTACAACCTTACTCAGGGCAAGTTTACTGAAGTCAGAAAAAATAGATTTAAGAACTCCTATTAGCATGACCTATCCACATCTTGGGTCAGATCCCAGGAAAAAAAAACACTCGTTCTCCCTTTTCAGCCATAAATTATGTGCTTAATTATCCAAATGTCAAACTGTGCTTGCAAATAACGAGGAAGGTCAGATCAGAGTGAGTTAGATGTTTAAAAGCCAGTTTCAGGGGCCAGCCCTTTCCACAGCAGACATGCAACAGCATTACACTTAGAACTCACCATCATGCTTTGCAAGTTGCTTCCACAAGAGCCACAAACAAGAAATGAACTGCTCTTCCCACTTGGAGCAGGTAGGGGGTCTCTGACAGCATGCTAGGCACTTACAGGAGGACAGGTTTTCAATTCCAGGGTTTCCCTGTGGGAACATCAAAACATATTGAGTCAAGAGTGTTGGACTCTATTGTTATAGAGAACTGTTTGGACTCCTCATGACTATTTACACTTAGGACAATCTCAGCCTCCAGCAAATCCAACAGCATGAGATGAAGGACACAATCATGTCCATTTTTTTTTCTTTGAAGTATTAGCCACAGTAGGATATTACTACTACAATATTGAATTGCTTCAGGGAAGGACTACAGGCCAAATTACCATGTCTGTAAGCAGAGATACTCTGAATGAAATTAATTATGGGAACAAGTATTAGAGTGCAAGTCAGCTGCACCTTGAATGTGGCCCTTTGGTCTTTCCAAGTATGTGGTTACCAACAGGCTAGGTCCATCTCCTCCACCTCAAAATAATCCTACTGCCTTCAGCATGATTCAGGTAGATCCCAAGGTGTTTATAAAATGACATAAACCAACAATAGGCAAATGCGCAGGTATACTAACTTCTTCTCCTGTTTGCATGATGAGCATGGAAGCAAGTCAGAAGGGAAAATACTAATGAGACACGTTGGTTTTGGCAGCTGGCAGGCAGCCATTACCTGAAGTAAGACTGGGGAACTGGGACTGCTCTGTGTGTGCTGCTTGGGCACCCAGCACAGCTGACCTGTGGAGCAGCTGGGCCACTACTAGGGCAGAGATCAGGTGAACTCTACCACAGGGCTGCCAGAAATCCACAGGTCTTCCACACAGCTTTCACGTTGGTTTGCTGGGCGGGCCAGACTTAAGTGAACGCCATGAAGCCCATCAGGTCATAACAGAAAGGCTACAACATGCAGCTTCCTAACCCTGATACCACCAGAAGATACTGCATTCTTTGACTGTATTCAAACAAGCCAACCAGTCCTGCAGCAAACTGCTTTCTCTCTCCAAAAACATCAGGTGCCATCTCCTGTCTGTCCAATGCAGCTCTTACTTGGTCTGCTCCTTGCCAGAAGCGGTACTCCTGGTCCTTCCAGCAGCATGAGTTTCTTCTGCTCTCTCCCATACCAGGTCATACCATGACATTTGCCACACCACTGATTTTCTCTGCAATTCTCATTCTCTCCGGGCTTTTCTTGCTCTCACTGAACTCAAAAACAACCATTTTTTGACAGCAAGTGTAGCAGCATGGCCCAGCTGCCTTGGGCCAAATACTAGCTGACCCAGCACCTCTGTGTTCCTAAAATAACCATTGAGCTTTGCATGCCATCACGCAGCCCATGCCCAGAAACATGGGTTGCCTCTGCAGACCAGATTTGGTTTTGGCACCCTGAAGAGGAACTGTGCTGAGGCCAACTCTCCTCCTGTATAGGCCCCTCTCACCCCACCCAGAAAGAGGAAATCGTGTGAGGTCTCAGTGAGCCTAAATCAAACATCCCATTTCCCAGGATGCTTTAAGGGACCACAGAATTGAAGGGATTTCCTCCTGACTAAAAGTAAGAATAACATGATTTCACTAAGGAAAAGGCACTACCTTCTAGCATTTCATGTGTAAATAGTTGCTTCCTTTGCCTCCACCAAACCTCTAAGCTAATTACAGCTTAAATGCTAACCCATGAGAAAAATACAGAACACTGAAACGTGGCATGGAAACATTGCAGCTCTAATTCTTTATAGCATTAGCTTGTTTAAACTTGATGAGATAGCAGGGAAAACAAAGGAGACACATGAAAAGATACCTGGTTACGTCACCTCAGCAGTTCCATGAGTGTGTTTTCTTGTACTTTTTTCTTCCAATTTTTTTTAACATGCCTAGGGATCTCAAGTGAGTCAAAGTGCCCTTTACTCTCTCACGCATAAGAGAAGCTGCAAAACATGTCACAGAAGTTACATCTTTGAAGAGCCAGACAAAAAAAAAAATAATTAAAAAAAAAAATCTGCTGCAGCGTTAAACATAAATTACACACAAACCCTGAGCTTTCCCCTAGAGCTAGCATCTCACTTTTCTTTTCCAAACATGCTAGCAACACCTGGATGGGTTTTGTGCACCCCATCATCCATTCTCCAGGTTAAAAACACAAACAAATTAACAAAAAAATAACAAAAACAATGAAACACACACACTTTAGGATAAAATGTTCATTTAACATGAGGGAGAGAAGGAACCTAGTCAGAAACATTACTGTCAGATATAGGAAAATGAGAAACCAAAAGGGAAGTACTGTGCAAAGCACTTCGGGTATCTAGGAACAGGGGAGGAAAGTTGTGCAAGACAGCCCAAAAAGCGGGAAGAAACATGTAGTTGTTAAGTGTGCATGTATTAAAAGAGGAAACAGATGATCTCAAAAGACACAAATGAAAAATTTTGTCAAGAAAGAAAGGCGTGAACTATTTATTATCTTTTCATTTTTTATAGCTTCTCATTTTCCCTCTGCACCACAAGCTTTTGTATGTGTTTGACTAGGTCACCCAGACCAGAAGGCAGACCTGCATGCTGACAGCTCACATCTTTGCACAGGTGACCTCCTTTTCATAAAAGGTGAATACAACTTTCCCCAGAAATAGGCAAAGATGCAGGTGTTCACCACATGTAAAACCATTGCTTTTCCAGTTAAACTGAATGTAGAACTGAATCAGAACCCACACAGTAGGTGCTCACCTTTGAAAATTTTACCTTTGGGCCTTCATTCCACCTCCCAACCCTGACAATAAAATGGATACAATGAAGAGTTTCTTCAGGGCAGAGTGCATCAGTGAAGAGCAAAATAGCTGAATTTATCACATCATTCTTCACTTTTTAATTAGGGGAACCATTGAAGAAAGACTGTGGAAGCAAAATCAATTTGCTGGTCTTGATTTGGCTTTTTGTTTAGTGACAATTTGACTCCTAAGACCAAATTCTCTCTGGGGAAATAATTCCACTCACTTCAAGGCAATAGCTTCAATAGGTAAGTTGCTTAACTTTCTTTCTCAGGTCTATGTGCTTTCCCCCTTTGTTCTCTGAACCTGAAAATATCCTAAAAGTCAGGGCATTTCTCCACCACTCCTTCCAACGATACCGTCAAAGTGATAAACATTTTCTCTACACAGCTAAGCCTTTTTTCATATCTACAAGTCTTAAAAGAAATTAGAAATTACTTTAACTGTAAAATACCAGGGGGAAGAAATTTTGGAATATTCATCATTGTGATTAGAAGAAAAAGCAAGTCAGACTCTCTGATGGATGTGAGGTCTGTGGGGTAGGAAAAAAACGACCTTTTGTTAGTCCCATAATTCATGAATGCAGGTTCCCCACTTCCCATCTGTAAGCTAGTCATATTGCTGAGTATACTGTGCATATTTAAGCATTCTGAATTCAAATTGTGATAGAAAAACTGTCATTTACTTCTTTACCATGACTTTTGCCTTTATTTGGAACATATAATCAAAATAAATGTTGAGGAACCTGACTGTGGGTTTAGTTGAATCTAAACTCTATGGAATTTACGTTCTACTTCTTGTTTTCAGCCCCAGTATTTCTTTGTAAGATATTTCACAGGGAGGTAACCAGAAAACCATTTCCTTTTTTTTCCCTTTTTTTTTTTCTTTTTCTTTTTTTTTTTTTTTATATCTTAAAAGTCACATAAGAAAGATGAAATGACCATCAATAGTTCCCAGGGGATGTCTGGAAATAAAGGAGATTCATGAGGAGTGCTTAATGCATTAGCTTCTCTCACACATTCTAAACCCACATGAAAATCAGAACCCACATGGTAAAAGCCCTTATGATCTTGTGCACCACTTAAAAATTTAAACAGTGTTCTAATGGAAAAAGATAACCTATTAAAGACAACAGCGCCCATCTACCAACATAATGTTCACGCTGCTAAGCCTGCTGGAGCTCTCTATTCTGCTATTAAAGCTCTTCCTACTTTTTTTTTTTGTTGGTTTTTGTTTTTGTTTTTGTGTAGCACCAACCAAGGTGGAAGCCTAACAAAGGTGTGTTTTCCCCGGAGGGATCTCCATTCTCCTGCATGGATTTGCTTCTTTGCCTGCTTGTACTGAGGGAACTGGGAGACACCTGGATATAGCTGCTAGGTAATGGGGATGAAACGCTGATAGCAGGGCAAGATTAATGTGATCTGATCCACTGGTGTTATCTTTCACATCTCTGCAGCCTTTTGCAATTTGAATTTGTAAATCCAATTTTCCTCTTTCAACACTGGCAGTTCTCCTCTTCATTTTTTCTCTAACCAGTCTCACCTCAAGGCTAACCATGAAGCAATCACTATCCAAAACCTCAAGGTCTGTAGACAGACAAAAATATATTTTTCTTTCTCTCCTGAGACACAGTGTAAGGCCCAAATCCACATCTCTGTTTAACTGGAGAAATCTCCTAAAGGAATAAACCCATCCATACCATGGGGATACACCACTACAAGAGAGTAATTGCCATAAGAGTGTCCCTCATCCTGGTGAAATGCAATTCAAGAGACAGCAGGATCATTCATCTCACCTGAACCTTCGGAAAAGTATCTTTATGTGAATTTCTATTTCTACTTTTGATTCCTGGGACATGCTGAGAGTTCACATATGGTGAGCTGATATGGCTCAAGTGATGCACGATTCAGGCTCAGTGGAGAAACAGCACAGGGTGGCTGAGCCCATCCAACATCTCGCCATCTTGAGTGATATAGGGTTGTACACCCCTATATCACTCTTGTACACACTTTTTTGCTTACCTTGCACGAGCTCTGGTGCTTGTCAGGAGCCTCCAAGAACAGATACAAGCCACTGATCCAGCTGCAAATTATCTCACAAAGAGAAACTGACTTTTCTGCCAGGATAGGAGCAAAGTTGACTCAGTAAAAAGTTTTACAAGCTACAGAGCCAACACAAGAATGCAGAGCTGAGAGAGAGGGCAGGGGTAGGGAGGACAAACTGCAATAGGATCACAGCCTTTGTCATCTGTAAGACTCAGCCATAATGCACAACTTCACCTTTGGGACCATGCAGATGTCGCCTCCTATCACTATGAAGCCATCCAAGCAGAATGCTGAGGTAGTAAAGAGTAAAAATTCTTAAGAAGAATTTTTAATTCTTAAACTCTCGCAGAAAAAAGAAAAATGCATGTGGATAGAGTTGTCTGAAAATACTTTTACAGAGGAAAATTGCAGGATAAGTATTTCAGTAGAGAATATATATATATATATTTAACAGCTGTTTAACATCAATCACTAACAAACATTCAGCATAAAAGATATCCTTGTTAATGATTCAGTGCCTTGCTTCTTCCAGTGAGAGGAAGCGCTTAAATCCAACATTTAGAGGCTGGATAACAAGTTGTTAAACAATAACTGGGAAAATACCTAACCTTTCGAAGGAGGAATGGCAAAGAGGAAGGGAAAGTGAGAGGGAAAGTGAAGGGGAAGGAACAAACACATATATACTACAAAAAGTAGATCACAATTTTCTTTTTTTTTTCTTTTTTTTTTTTTTAGCCCTTTGAAGGCTGCTTTTCAAGTAAAATACATTACTTTTTAAAAGCCTGTAACAACACCACTTTGCACTTTTAATAAAGAGTTCTTAAAGCCATTAACGTCCATGTAGCCCACAATCTTTTCATATGGGAGAGACATGAAATGGCTGTTCTGGCAGCTACTGCTGCTCTCACAGCCAAACAGCTCCTCCTTTTATCCATGCATAGCTGAGTGCTTACCCAGGAGCAGTGCAACAGTGTCCTCACCGCACGATTGCTCCTCTTGTTAGTGGGGTCAGTGAGGCATAGACAACCAGCAGCTACTACCACCACACCAGCAAAGCCCTCAAAAGAAGCCCCTGAGCTGGAAAACAGATCCACATGGGTAGAAACTGCATCGTGCAAGAGTACACACCTACACATGATCAGGAAAAAAATCAGCACAGTAACAGCTCAGAGTAATAAACAGGCAGCCAAAAGTTTCTTTGTGAACACCTACTTCATAGGTTTATGTTATTACAGGACCTCCTCCTCTCATGGACAGAAGATGAGTTCTGCAACATTGCACCAAGTGCCCACGGTGGCCTGCAGGTATTTATTATTTACTGCAGTCTCAGGAGGTCCACACTAAAAGCAGCCTGGGGAAGCAGGCTATGTTTTATCCACCACATGACCCAGTTTTCAGCAGCTCTGTCAAGCACTTCTGTCACTACTGACAGGGCTGAGTAATGTTCAGTGAAGTAGGTGATGAGTTACGTGAAACTAGCTTCCAGAGGAAATTAATTTCCATGGAGAGGCTCTGGCTACTTGAACTTTGTTTTAAAAAGCTGTGTTTTATTGCAGTCTAAGTTAATGAAGAAAGGTAGCTGACAGGCTGCTGTGCCATCTGTGTTATCTTTCAGCCACCTTTCTTCCAGTAGCAGCAGCAGCCAAATAGGAATATCCACTGACATAGCTTCTATTTAAACTCATTTTACTGCCTCTCCACTATCGCCATGATAAATAATCAGGCCTACTTTTAATAGAATGCACTACATATGGCATCCCCACCAAGACCCTTCTTGAGCAGAGAACTGATTGCAAGAAGTACTGCACACTCAAGTCTTCTTCCTGGGAAGCTCTGTTAGTGTACCATCTGTATCCTCCTAACCTTAGGAGCACTTGATTTTCCAAAAATATTATTTTTCTGCTCTTAAGTTGTCAGACTTACCACAGTGAGCACCCCAAAGAGTATCCACCCCTTGGTCCCACACTTGACCTAATCTTTGTGTGTTGGAAGATTTGGGGGACCCTCAACTGAGGCCCTATTCCAGATAGTAGGATAAAGTAAAGGATAGTAGGATAGTTAAATTCATCAATCACAAGAATGAATTCTCCATGAATTGCTTCAGACTGTCTTTCCACACTACAAAATTTACCCTAAAATTAAGGATAAACTAGTCTATGCAACCTGTGTACAGTACGTACCACATTCACACCTGGGTAGGTTACTGCTTCTAACAATGCTTACCTCAAGCATATTTGGAAGTATGGCTGTCTACATTTCAGAGAAACGTAGATATGTGGGAAAAATATAAAAGAGTCGTCTATTGTGGAGAGGCTGCTAGTCCATGTTTTTAATCTGAACACAAAAAGCAGGCACATTTATCTCTGCTTGGGATTCTTTGCATTAATATTGCTAGAAAACACACTTTGATGTGATCAGATGCTTCATAGTAGTTCCTCTACAAACATATCTGGAAACAGCAAATGGGTTGAAGCAGACTTCACAAGGTGGGATTTCCTTGTGGTATTTTCTACTGGTATTTTGAAGCAAAACGATAACAACAACAATAAGGAAAGAAAAGAAAAAAAAAAGAATACAAGAATAAGAAAGGAAAAAAAAAAAAGAAAAAACTTGAAGAAGCTTTAGTTTACATGCCTTTGACACTGTGTGCTTGCAAAAGTATCAGGTGAAAGCATGTGCAAGTTCTAAAAAGAATTTTTAAAAGCAGCACTCAAAAATACCAGAAACTCAGAGCTGTATAGGCCTTAGCCTAGACACAGTCCCAGGCAAGAAAAAAAGATGTCTCACCTCACCATTTAGTTGCCCCAAGAAATGTAGGTACAATACTAATTTCTTCTTCTCCATCTTCACCTCTCTTGTATAGTATTTTACAAGCTTGGCTAGACACTATGAAGATATCTCACACGCTTCACTAGCTGAAAAGATTCTCAATAGCATAACAGGTTTTCCTACAGTAAAACCTAAATGTGCAGCAGCTTTCCTTAACATTTCTAGATATATTCTGATAGTATTAAATACATATATCACATAAAAAAATATATATATCATACATATTATCAAATAAATACTTGTCATTCTGATCAGCATTAAACTCAGCCATGTCTGATTCATTGCAGCACGTACCCAACCTTCTCACCAGTACTTGCCAGCCATTAGCATTCAAAATTAGTGAATCAGTTCCTCATCAGACTGTCTTAGAAACAGAACAGTTTTTTAAATAATTATGAATTCCAAGGAGATTTGTCTTCACATTTTTTCTGTTGATGAGTTTATGTTCTCAAACACTGCTATGTAGCCATCAGCATTAGAATCTTGCTTTTTAAAAATAGTCATATGAAAGTGATATGAAATAGCATGACTCCAGAAGTCAAGGATCAATCAGTCAAAATAAATGCATGAAGCTTGGCGGCTTTATTTAACTTCACAAGCTTTGTGGACAATGTAGAACAAAAACCAGCCATGGGAAGTCCTTGTTTTTTTGGAGGGAAATGAAGCAGCAGTGAAGTGCAGGGTCCCTACCCTCTAGGGTAGGGAAAACATCATGTAATGGTGAAAATGTGACTCTTTGCATGAACTCACTGAGCTGCAGGGGACAGCCTGCAACTCTTGTGACTACGGCATGAAGTCAGTAAGATATATATACTTGGTCCCTAAACTTCAGTTGCAACTGCCACTGCTAGAAGTCTCTCTAAATGAGAGCCAAGATTTTGATTGTCTTCTTTAAGCGTAGGAACTGGAATCACACAGGCGTAAAATCCTGATGTGCCACAAAATGCACAGGTAATAAAACTACCATATATAAAGTATCTTCAGATCTTAGGGAACCTTAAGATGCTGTTCTTCCAAGAACATATTCACACCAAATAATTTATTCCTGTTCTAAGCTATTTTAGCTGCTAAAAAGCCAGAGGGTAGCATGCAACAAAGCTTGTTTTATACACACACACACACACATATATATATATACATATACATATATATATATATATATAAGAATTTTCTTTTTCCATTCAGCTTCTAACTAGAAATATCTGGCCAGTGTTGTTCCAACCAGACTATATTTACTTCCAGGAATAAGAGCAAGTCAGGAGATTTTCACTGGCAACATAAATGGTCTCAGAAAAATGTGTGAGTGAAAAAATTAAAAATAAAAAGCCCAAAGGACACAAAATTAGAATGAAAATGTTTACACCACTTCAGCCTTTGAAGTTTTTCCTTTCTTTCTTCAGGTACTTCTCATTTCTCTCAGCATTTCATAATTGCCATTAAGCTGGTACCTGTTATGCAGGAAAACAGTGACATGGCAGAGATAATTGCCAAGGCTTTAGTATCTGATTTGAGGTGTGCTCTTCTCCAGCTCTAATGGGGGCCAGGCTATATTCCTGCTGCCTGCCTTGTTTGTCTACAGAGCTGTGGCAAGACAGCTTGCAGGAGGCAAAGTAATTCCCTCTGGGGACTGTAATCAGGTGGGTTGCCAGGACAAAATGCTGAAGCAGCATCCCCAAGAAGAGCAGTGAACAAAAACCCTTCTGCCACCTGGATAGGTCAGGAGTCTTGTCTGTTACCAGGAGGTGAAAGCCCACTGTCAGCCGGTATGTGTAACAGTCATCAGAAATCAACATATGTCCTAAAAAATAAATTCCCTCTTGTAACTAACCCAATAAAAGTGCTTGCACGTGTCTGCATGCTTATAATCTTACCTGCATCTTGGCACTGCACATTGGTTATATACAGTCTGCACAGCGGGGCAGGTCACATAGACAAAAGCCCTGACATCTTTCCACTCCTTATAAAAGTCGTCATCCATGCAGAGACCATGACAGCTGCTGGGCCGACAGCTCCACAGCAGAACGTTGCTGCAGGTTAGAGCAGCTGCACATGGCGAGCAGTGCTGTGTGGTCCCCCTGTACCAGCCCGATGCAAAGGGACCACAGTGGGGAGCAGAGAGGGAGTTGGACTCACAGTCAGTGTCTTTTTGGCTTCTCTGCTGCTAGGTGCCAAGTTTAATTAATTTTATGCAGGTTCTCCCTTCCGGGCAGGGCAGGCTCCATGCCTTTGTGTCGCCAGCTGGTAAGCAGGCTCTGTGAATTTGTACCAACAGTCAGAAAGTTAAAAGGCAGATTGTGCTCTCCACTGCACGGGTAGAGGAGAGCCCTGCATTTGACCTGGATGCTCTCCAGCAAGCAGCTGCAGCCTGTCCCCTCTGATTCAGGCAGTTCAGAGCCCTTTCCACGGAGACAAACATTTCATTTGCATTTCCCTTTCCCACCTCGGATAATGGGAACATACTGCTGATGGCAGTCACAGAGGCCGTACATCACACACCACTTCAGAAATCTCCCGTTGTGCAATTCACTCCTCAGACAATAAAAATACCATGAAAATCCACAGTGGCACAGGTTATCCTTCAAGTCACAGCATTTGCTAAATGAAGAGAAACATGCAAGGCATCATGTCATACCCAGTGCAGCTCTGACTGCATGCTGGAAGCTTCCTCAGCACAGTAATTGGTAACACTTGAGGTTTTTACTAAGTGTTTAAACCAGAGTGTAAGTGAAACACAACCTCTAGCAGAGATGTAATACATTTTTTAAAATAGACTATGCATTACTGAATATGCCACCATTTTTCTAGTACCCTTTGAAAGGCAAATGAAAGAAAGGGCCAGCCTTCCTAATCTAGCAGGCAAGCCACATAGCACAAGCTTCATGTAGGATGTACCAGCCTCCTACTTCTCACTCTGCCTCCCCCAGCCAGGGCTTCACTCCCAAACACCTCTGGGTCTGACAGCCAGGATCCATCCCCAAACCTCTCTTCATCTAAGGGCCTGGAGAGCCCCAGCCCTCCTCAGCTCTTACCCAAGGTGCTGCCAGTCCCTCCAAAAGCCAGCAGAGGAGCCATGCTTTGCTTTTGCACAAGGCAGAAGCTCCTGTGCTGTGCAGAACAGCTGAACTTCAATGACTTACAAAACGCAGGATGCCCAGAAATAGCGCCGTGGCCGCCTCTGGGTTAGATGCCATTAAAAATAAGCATGGACTGTGCCCCCTCTTTTCTTTGCACAGGCACAGGTTTGATTCTTGCTGTCTTCTCATTTGCCAACTCAGAAATCACCCCATCACTTTGCAACCTAATGGAGAAACTATGTGAGAACACAAATGTCTCATATCTCCTAATATAACCTGCTAGTTAGAAAGGAATTGGAGCAAATGAGATCTCCTGGGCCCAGGAACCTGTGCCTGGTGAACAAACCAAGCAAGCTACTTCCCAAAGGGCCCTTTGGATATAACTTGGAAAGGATTGGGCTGAAAATCAGCATAGGCAGAGGAATCTTTTTTTCAGAATAGTCCTTCGTTTGTGAAGAACTAAAGATACACTTTCAGAAGTACTGTTGTGGCTTAATCTTGCTAAATACCATTCTGCTGGAGGCCAGACACCCTGCATTTTTAAAGAGATTTTATGGACTGTTTATCTTAATATAATCTCCCACAAACGTTTATGGGGAGCGTTTTATTTAAAGCAGTCTGTGATCGGTATAAACATCACCATGGTATTAGGCTAACCAAGCTCTGAGCCGAACTGGAAGTCGTGTGGGAGCTTTATTTGGGATATTAAAGTAGCACAGCTCAATATATGATTTTATTTGCAGTAGACTGCTGGGAATTAGAGATTAGTCATGTGGGGATTTTAACAGTTGTGAAGTTATAGAAGGCTGACTCAATGGTTTTCGTCTTGTAAAATGTCACCCAACTGTCTTGTTACTTCAGATTACAAGATTAAGAAGTTAAATACTCAAATCCCCAGAGAAAGGTTTGAATTTTGGGGTGGGAGGGCAGGAGAGAAGCACAGAAGCAGGAGAGAAGTAGGAAGGTATCTGCAAGCACAGTCCCATAGTGTTCTCACAAGTGACTAGAAAAATGGCACTGGCGCTTCCAAATTTAATTTTCTCTCCATGACCCTATGTCAGATTCATTCAGTTTACAAGTCGATTTCATATTATTAATTGTCAGCCTTGAAAACTCCGCTTGGGATCCACAAATCAAGTTGTGTCTCTTTAAGCCTCCTAAATCACCAGTAATGAAGATTCTGCCCTTTGTAATTTACCTGTCAGTGCTTTGGAGATCCAGACCCAAATCCATCTTGCTCAGCCCTGCAGTGCCTGAATATGTAGCTCTGGATCTTTTCTGAAGCAGCACTGTTGTTTCAACGTGGAGGAGACTAAGACAGACGTTCCCCGGGCCTCCTCACTTTTTTCTTCACTCTATTTGTTATACACATATTGCTGGGATGCTGAGAGGATGCAAGAAAATGGGTCTTAAGATACTGGAAAAAATGCACTAAGTGAAGGATCAGATAGGATTACCTGCTGCTCTGCCCTGAGCTGTATGTTGACATTCTCAGTAGCAGGATAGGCTGAAAAGAGGATGAAAAGAGAGGAGAATGTGGCCCACCTGACTGCCATAGAAGAGAATTTTGATATACCCTTTGTTCGCTAGGTTTTATTTTGCACATGCAGGAATCCAGGTTTCTGTGACGTCTAAATTCTTGGCCTTTTGCCACCCATATCAGTAACTAGCATTTGTTATTAGTAAGAGAGCTCTTGTCCTATTAGAAGTCCATCCTTCTTCACATTCTGTACTTGCTATTGATTACATTTACACAATCATACAGTCTATTTAAGCTTGTACTTTGAGGAAAGTGATAGTGCTTTACATTAGGCAGTGTCACTTGCTAGATTCACATATGGCAGTTGCATGGTGAGTTGAAAAAGAAGCAATCAAGGGCTGTGTGTGGGAGTTTCTGATTTGTGCCTCGGAGTTACTGCCTCTCTGCCAGGTATAAAGGCAGAGCCAGAACAAACTCTTCTAGAAAAAATAACACTATTTTTGCTGCTAACACATAACGAAGATCAGGGATCAGATTTCTTATGTCAGTCATGTTATCTTTTTAGCCAGCTCCAGACTGTGTATTGCAGGCCATCTGATTTTTGCTGCCTGCAGTCCAGCTTCTGGTAATTGCTCTGCCCCAGAATGAGCATTCCGCTGAGCAGAAACAATCTGATCCCAGAGCCTTTGTATTTACTCCCCCAAACATGAAAACAACTCCAAAATCCACGTATGAAAAGCTTATAACTTTGCCTCATACCGCTTCAGAGCATGGAAAATGCTGATGATCCATGATTTTCACTTCATTCATTCATCAAATTCTTGGGATAGTGCATCTAGGAAGAAGAAAATCACCATGTCGCAATTAAATGCTACAGAAAACTACCTGCACAGGAGTTAGCTACATAAGACTTCAACAAATACTGAGTGTAGTTCATTCTCTACTGAACCAAGAATCTCCTTGTAAAAACACCTTCTCCTTAGTAAGTTGCTTGAAAGGAAACCTTATCCAGGATATTTAAACAGCTGCTGAATTGAAGCCTTATATGCATTCCTATGAACTTGGCTGTATCTCATTTTTTCCCTGCCCTTATTTCCAATTTACAGGGATTTAAAATAGTCACTGTAATAGATTAAACAAAGCAATCCTGATGTAACTTTCATCTCAGGAATTCCCTAAACACCTGATGGTGTGATGCAGGGGAGGTATGTCAGGGTAGGCATCAATCTCTGACACACTATGGCAGTTCTCATTTTCCTACAGACTTTCCAAAATTGGTACAGTTATGATGCAACTCTTCCTCTGAGACACCAAGTGAACAAGTACATCTCAGCCAGTAATGTTTTACGCTTTAGCTTAAGAACCTACGCTGTGTAAACTGTTATTTTTGCCATCACAGATAGAGTCATCTTAGTACCTAAAAGGACAAAGGACAATAATGTCTTATTTTGCCTTTAAGATGAATAATGCATCCTTTACCTCCTGATTTCCACCCACTAAACTCCTTAATCATTGCTAAGCTACTATCAGGGTTATTACCTTCATCCACATCATCTAATCCCATTTTGATGCCTTTTGGTCTTGCTCACATGCTGTAGCAATGAGCTTCACTAACTTTCCAATCACCGCAAGATAGGTTATTGCCTGAAGACCGTTAAACCTTCTCCCCAGTGAATTTCACTGGATAATCTTGTGTTGTGGCTGCCCATGGCAGTTTCTCATACACTTTATCCATGTTCTCCACAGCAGACCTCCATGGCACCACACACCTGTCTCTCCATAGCCACTTTTCCCCCCCTAGACTGAAGAATGCGACTTATTCTCCTGCTATAAAAACTACATCTATCATGTTTTTTCCCTTGTCTGAGCTTTTTCTAATCCTACTGTGTCCTGGGTGAGAGTGTGTTCAGAACTGCATAGATCTATATAGGGACATAATGTTTAACCTCCATTCCTTTTCTGCTCTTGTCTAGTCTTCCATCATGAGGGAACTGAAACAATATTTATTATGCAGAGATGGTATCTTCCATATCTTGGATGAAACAGTTTTGGTTACTGAGGATCCAGGCTCAGATGAACGAGAGGATACAACCAATAAAAAAAAGAATGAAATAAAATTAGGCAATCAGGTTAGAAATTAAAGGAAAGAATAGTGTGATAATAAAAAATAAAAGTAAAGAAAGCAAAATTTATGCAAGTTTTCATAGCACAGTATTTGGGAGGGACAAAAAAAAATAAATCATATTTTTTTGCTGAGCTGTGGTTTGAAAAAGTGTCACCGAGGTAACCATACCAGGAATTTAGGGTATGTCTATGCTGCACACTGATAATTTATCCAGTCAAGCTCTGTGCTAATGCAACTATACTGCTTATAATGCTTACAAGCTAACTAGTTTAGGGCTCTCTCTGAAACCCCTTCAACCAAATTGCACTGTGCAATAGAAATTAAAAAAAAAATACAAATAAAAAGTGTTCAGCACTGCAGGACGCCTTGAAAAGGAAAGTAACACAATTATCTCCTTTATACCAATGGAATAGCAGCTATGGTGTCTTTACAGGCATGGGATGTTGAATAAACCTTGCAGAAGACCTGAGCCAGGCCAACCTATGCAGCCTTACTCTGCATAGATGAAGATGCCTGCTGACTCCAACAGAAGTGCTCCCAGGCACAAAATTAAATCCAGGCATATGGGTCTTTTGCAGCAGTAGGCCTAAAATTGGTAACCCCCCCACGCATAGAAAGCTATCTCTGCAATAGAGCCTGTGCAAGATGATATGTTATCAAGGCGACAGGGCCTGACACACAGGGGTGCTGTACCTAAGATGCAGCAGTTACTACACACTTGAACTCACCCTAACTCTAAACCGGATCAAAATTTAAGAGACTGTGTCTCAGACAAAAATGCAACTGGAGCATGGGGAAGGCCTTACTCCATTAGCTGTGGTCTGTTATTTCTGCCCGTAACAGAAAACACCAGTTTGTGCACAGAGGGTGGGTGCTCACTGAGGGCACAGACTTCTCTCCAGAGAGGAGTCACACACTGGTACAACGTCCTTTCTGTTTCTAAAGCCCTTGGCCACAAGTAAGCCCCACCTGCCTTGCACAGGCCAATTTATGTGCCCCTAAATTCACAAGGAACAGAAAACCCTGAGGTGCCAAGTCCCCTCTGATATGTGATGATCAGAGTCGAGGGACGCATTTGAACATTTCCAAGGAGCTCCTCACTGAAACAGGCACAGAGAAATCATACCTTCTGGACGCAGGCATAGCTATCCCAACAGGCCAGCCTGGGAGAAATGTGGTATTAAATTAACAGCTACCCATGACACACAGAACTGACATGATGGCTGATGTATTTTTGGCCTGATTTCCTGTCTGTCAGCTCCCTTTAGCGAATTTTTTCTTTAGCTAATTTTAACCAATTTTGAAAGAAGGGCTGAAGTCTCACAGATAATTATATTTTTATAAGTTTCAAGGATCTGGCAGCTGGAGAGAGAAGAAAGACCAAAATTAGTGCTTTCCATTAAGGAAAGGCAGGCAAAACTCAGCCACTATATATACACCAGTGAGCCTGAGACAGCTAACGAACCCGTACACATACAGCTGCAGACTAGCATCATCTGTGTTCTCTCTTGTCCAATAAAGCTGGTAAGAAGGACATGGAGATGCACTAGCAGTTTTGCACTGGTGTACGTGTTAGGACACAAACTCATAGATGTCCAGTTTTAAATAAATTCTGCTGTTCTCATAACAGTTCCCGTGGTTTTGTTGAGGTACTGGTAATAGCAGCGTATCTACTGAAATTAAGATTATTTGTGAAGATGCAGTCAAAAATATCTACCTTATTGTAGAAAACTACAATTATTGCATCTCATTAATGACTTTTATTCATGATCGTTCTGTTTTCAACTGTTAATCCCACAGTTATTAGATCATAATATTGGACCATGAATTTTGTAATTATTAAAAAGAAATTCAAAGTTTCTCAGGCCAATTTTCTGTTGTCTCAAATTAAGGGAAATTGTGGTTTGTCTTTAAATTAAAACCAAAAAGAAAAACAATGCTTCAGAAATAAAAATGTCATTGTTCAAGGAAGAGTAATAAAGTATGAATGCTTCTCCTTCATCAGACTGTTTTATAAATGAGCAAGAACACTGAAGCCAATAAATTACCATTACCCAAGCTTCATAAATCCTCAGAGGTTGGTTTTTACCATGTAGTTTAAGTGTAGTATAGTAAGATCTCAGAAGAGGCTAAGAAAGATTCATTTGGTGGATTTATAGGTAGAGAAGAGGTCTCTGCACTTTCTCAACCATTACTTGCAAAGTCAATATGGAAAAAGTTGCCCATTATGAAAATTGGTGGTCCTATAAGACAGCTCTCTGTAAGTGAAACTGTAAGAAAAGGCCTACAGTTACGCAGTAGAATGAGTAGGTTTTATCTGCCCATTTTTCAAGCACAGCTTTGCTAGCAGGTTAGCTGGAACAGGGAATCAAAACAACAACAACAACAAAAATAAAAGTAAGGTCAGCATACATACAAATATGAAACATCACTGAAACTTGGAACACAATTTTAAAAGTGAAAAGTGGAGGAGTTGACCAAAACAAGAGGCAAAATAGGTTGCATGAATTGTACAGGGAGTTACCCAAGGAAGAGTGACAGGGAACACAGATGGGTTCCTCCTGTACCGATTCAGCTCCTTGATGTAACAACACCCAGAACCACAAAGGATATACACCAGCACAGTTTGAAAGTGGAAAGACAGAGAAAATAAATAGAATGTCTAGTCTATAAATATGAAATGAAACCATTGCTGCAAAGGGCTTTGTGCCTTGTGGAAAGCAAGTGTAAGCTTGTCTGCACTGTCCTACAATTGGAGTTTGGGAGAAATGTCCACATTTGGGTACAGCAAAAAATTCAAGTTTAGGTCTCAGTGAAATCTGGGCTTCTAAGTATCCCAATTTCCTTAAATTTGGAACCCGTGTTACTTACATGCTTCTGATGATTTTTACCATTGAGTGAAATTGTAAACCCAACAGGCTAGAGACTGTCTCACATTTATCTCCTTAGCTGATCGCAAAATACAAATTGTAGCTTGCCATACATTTCTAAGAAGAACAAA